ATCTCAAATAACCGTATCAACCCGACATCATTTTCTTGTAACCAATCCGCAGATTTCTAAATGTCACGCGTTAGTGATTAAGGAAATCACTTCCAGTATTTTTGTCGTCGCCCACTCATTTTTCTCTTAGCAATGGCGTTAGCAGCTGTCTCCAATAGAATGCACTTGTGATCAGCGTATAAGTCTTGAAAAAAATATGATATAATGCGAGGCTAAAGCCTGAACAATGTCTATAAAATATAATGCAAAGCAAAATGTATGACATAATCCCTATGCTGTCCCATTTGAAGCGTCCCAATATTATTTTGCATAGTTAAGGTAGTTGTCTATAAAACGAAGGCTTCAACTCTGGAAGATATAATGAGCGCGGAACTAGTTTGGAGTAAAAAGGTTAACTTTGGTGAAGATCTGCTAATTTATGAGGATGAATTTATTGTGCAATTAATTGATGGTCTTGAGCCAGAAAGTAAATGGTTATACACTTTAGTGGTTACTTCTTTATAATAAAGCATATTTTAGCGACATATGCTGCTAGTGCTCGTTTTCTCAACAAAGATGGAGCAGGCCAATTTGGGAAATTCATTCATGCCCACACATCATGCGAGCGAGGAAAGCGACTAGAAATTCGCAAAGTTTCTTTAGAGGTAAAAAAAAAACGTACAAGGAAACCTAAATAGAACTTAATTCTAACTACCTTTTTTGTAAGATAGGATACGATCGTATTCGTCTCGGATGGCAAGGGAATGTTACATCAGTAAGTTTTAGATTACTTCATTGGCAAAATGGCTGAAAAGTAGATTAATAGCCCTGCGCTGAAATCGTGGGCAAGCAGACCTCGGCGGCAGGTCTGCGGAGGGCAAGCTGGAATTCGTTTTGTGAAAAAAAGCAAAGAGGAAATCGTAGGTGTTCCTGGAGCCTGCAGTTCAATTTCAAATGGCCGCCTTCTCCACTTTCAAAAATGTTGAAGCTTCCCACTCCCCCACGGCCTGAGTATTTCCATCTTATTCAATACTCAATTCAAAGCAGTTCCACACATACTTTTAGACCGTTCAAAAACCTGCTCCAGCAAAGGTTCAACGCTCGT